TTCCTGCTGCTCTGGCTTGGGCGCTCCCTGGTCCCACTGCAGGCCTTTCTTTGGGGAGGAAGTTTTGGCTCAGGGCCTCTGGGGGGATCAGAGCCAGGGGCCTGCTGTGCTCTCAGCCTCCATTCTGCTGCTGGGTCCCGGTGTCTCGTGATGAGGAGGGGGCTGAAGATGGGCCAGGTCACGGGCTCAACTCAGGGGACTGGGGCCCCGAGGTTTTGGGGGTGGCTGTGACATTGAGGGGCAGGGCTTGGCCGGAGCACTCCGTGTTCTCTGGGGCCTGTCCCTTCCCGCAGCCAGGGCAACGTCGGCGGCAGCAGTCCAGGCTGGGTACCACAGCCATGTAGAGCAGCGGGTGTATGCAGATGGCCAGGGGAACGAGGCCCCGTGTTACCTGGTGGGCCACGTACGTCCTCCAGCCCAGCGCCGCCTTAGCCTGGGCCACACTTGCAAAGCCTGGGCAGAGGGCTCTCCAGCGCTGCCGGGCATACACGTTGAGCACCCCCGTGACGTAGTAGGGCACGTAGGAACTAGTGTAGAGGGCAATGCCACTGGCCACCAGCACCATCACGCGCAGCTTGTTGGCCGCTGTCATGCCGTGGCTCTGCTGCACGGCCTGCCCGAGGGCACCGTAGGCCACCAGGCTGAGCAGAAGCGGCAGGCCGCAGCCCAGAGCCACGAGCGCCAGGCTGTAGACCCTGTAGGCCTCAAGCTGCTTGTCATCCGCTGTCCCCAGGCACTTGATGCAGGCCTCAGGCCTGTCCACAGTGCACTTGCCTTCCTGCTGTGGCCCACTCAGGTGGGAGAAGCTGAGCATGGGTGCGGCCAGCAGGGCCGCCAGTGCCCAGCCAGCAGCGCTGACAGCCCAGGCGTGCTTGGGCCGCAGTTGGCTGTGGGTGAAGAAGGGGTGGGCAACGCCCAGGTAGCGGTTGAGGCTGATGCAGGTGATGAAGATGACGCTGCCCAGCAGGTTGCAGGTGAAAAGGAAGCGCTCCAGGCGGCAGGCAGTCTCCCCATAGCTCCAGTGTTTGGGTGGGTGGAAGTAGGCGGCCAGGGGGGGCAGCGTCAGGGCGTAGAGCAGGTCGCTGACTGCCAGCTGGGCTGAGAAGATCACGGCTGGGCGCCAGGGGCGATGCTCCCGGGTACAGAAGCGGCACAGGGCCAGGCTGTTGCCAGCCAAGGCCACCAGAAACACAGCCACCAGCACGGGCCACAGAAAGTCTTCCTGGAAGCCGCTGAGGATGTGGTCAGCAGCCGCTGAGAAGTTGGCTGGGCAGTGTGTGGGACCTGGGGCAGAGAGCGTTGCTGCATCAGCCCTGTCCCTGACCATGGCTCCCGCCGCCTTCAGAGTCAGAAACACTGCGGCACCCACACCGGCTGTGCGCCAGGAGCCCTTTGCGGGGCATACTCCGCTGAGTACTTTTCCACACCACGGCTCCTTCGTACAGAGGGAATCTGTACAAAGAGGCCCAGAGGCCCAGAGCGGTTAGAAGCAAAGAGTTCTTCATTCAGCCCCTCTCTGTGTCCCGCACCATCAAGAACCAGAAGAAGCAAGAACCAGGGACGTGGGCTTCCCTGGTGGCGCAGTGGTTAAGAATCCACCTGCCGATGCAGGGGACACAGGTTCGAGACCTGGTCCGGGGAGATCCCACATGCCGCTGAACAACTAAGCCTGTGCACCACAACTACTGAGCCTGTGCTCTAGAGCCCGCGAGCCACAGCTATTGAAGCCCACGCGCCTAGAGCCCGTGCTCTGCAACAAGAGAAGCCACCGCAATGAGAAGCCCGCCCACCGCAACGAAGAGTGGCCCCCACTCGCCACAACTAGAGAGAGCCCACGCGCAGCGATGAAGACCCGACGCAGCCGAATAAATAACAATAAAAGTAAAGGAAAAGAACCAGGGACGCATGTAACCTGGCGGTGACCAACCAGAGCCACCGGGGCCTGGGGTGGAGGAGCAGGAGCCCAGGGGAGTGTCCCACCCACTACACAACCCCCAGTCCGATCTGTCAGTCTGTCACCCCCTTAGTGTCACCCAAGTCCAGCCCCCACCATCTACCTGTTGGCTGCACTCCGGTCTCCCTGCTCTGGCCCTCACCCATCTGTTCTCTCACATCCTCCAAAGGGCACCTGAGACAGGTCACATCCCTATCCTCCCAGCCCTCCCCGGCTTCCTCCTCACATGGAGGAAAAGCCAGCGTTCACCTTTTCGCACAAGGCCCTGCAGGAGCTATCCCTCCCACCCCACTGGCTCTCTCATTTCCCACTCCCAGCTCCCTGTGACCATAGTGTCCTCGCTGTTCCTTAAGGCACAGCCTGCCTCAGGGTCTTTGCACTGGCTGAGTCACGGGCAACAGGCATCCTTAAGGCTGTCCCACTCACCTCCTCCTGGTCTGGTCCTGAGAGAGGACCTGAGATCACCCTAACATGTGACTGCACCCTTGGTCCCCTACCCTTATTTTTTTGCCACAGCTTGTCACTCCATCTGATCACTGTAAGAAAAATCCACAGAATGTTCCCTCCTGAGGGTGGGGCAGTGCCCTGCTACTGGCTTCCCAGTGCCCAGAACAGCACCTGGGACTGAGCAGTGCGGGGGGAAGCTGAGCTCTGTACTTGACCCTTCACACGCCCCACTCAGCCTCAACTTTCCAACCTGAGAATTGGCCTGTTCCCAGTTGGTCCAGCAGGCTGGCCAGGAGCTCTGTGCCAGGTGCACGTACCCCTTCCCTGACCCGGTCAGCTACCCCACTCTCACTTCTGCCTTCCTATCCCATCCCTCCGCCCTGGGAGGAAGTCGGTCCAGACGTGACTCTAAACCCCTTCTCCCCTCTGCCTTCCAGGAGCCGGCCACCTCCACCCCCATGGCCCTGGATGTGTGCCTGGCTCAACCGACCCAGCAGTGCTGGCTCCTCACCTGAGGTGGTGGTGGCCGTGGCCTGCATGGCCTGCCTCTGGGTCTGCGGCCCGTGTGCTGTACTGCACACGGTCCTTTGCTGAGCTACCAGCAGTGCTGCCGGCCCCTCCCCTTCCCAGCAGCACCTCCTTCAGCCTGCAGAGCTGGTCTGTCTGGGCGCACGCCTCACTTCCACTCCCGGTTTCCTTCCTCATGACACCCAATCCTCCAGAGCTGGCCCATCTGCTTGTGGGGGCCCTTGGTAGGCTGGGGGAGGGGCCCAGGAACCCAAGGCACCAAAGCAGGGTCAAATCTTCCCGTCACCCTTGCCTGTGAAACAAGGCCCTGCACTGCCACTGCCCAGGGTCGGGGAAATGGGCCCAGGCTTCGGGCAGAAAGCAGGCCCCCCATTTCAAGCACAGACTAAGACTCATGAGAAATCAGTTTATTAGAGGGGGAGGTTAGGAAAACAGTTCTCCTTTATGAAAGGAAACCAAGGGCTGCACCTGGAGGCCCAGGAGGTGGGGAGCCCAGGGCAGCATTTCTCAGGCCCCAATCTGGGGCATTCCACCTGCCACCCAGGCTTGGCCTCAGGCTACTCTCTTAGGTGGCCACGGTCGGCCTCGCCTGTGGTCCCGGGCAGCCCCTCTGGGTCCCACCTTGGCCTGGGCCCCCGGGTGTCTGCCCTTGGCCTTTGGAGGCCTCTGGTCACTGCCTCTGTCAGGCTTCCGTTCCTTTACCCGTCGCTTCTTGCCTGGGGGCCCGGCAGGCCGCTTCCACTTGGCTGCCTTTGGGAACATGTCTGTGGGAAGAGACTGTGTCAGGGCCACCAGGGCACAGGGACAGTCAAGCCCATGGTGCCCAGCTACACTGACCCCTGCCTGCCACACACCCTCATCAGGCTCCTCGCCCACAGCCTGGCGGAAATACTCGGCCTCATCCTCCTCTTCCTCTTGCTGGCCGACCCCCTCTGCCTCTGCAGGGGCCCCGGGGTCCTCTGCATCGCTGTCCCCCTCGGCCTCTGCCTGTGCCCGCTTCATGCCCGCCAGGCTCTTCTTCCTGGAGGAGGAACACGGGTCAACGTGGCAGCCTGCGCCCAGGACCCCGCCTCACCCGCCTGGCAACCACACACTTGTGGGCCGCTCGCTGCTCTCGCTTGCGCTGAACGTTCTGGGTCTGCTGGTCCTGCCTCTGGGCCTTGAGCCGCAGCTTCTCCTCCTTGGCTGCCAGGATGGCCTGCAGTTCCTCCTCTGTTTTGTGCACTAAATGGGAAGAGACGGCCACTGAGGCCTTCACCAAGATCCAGGTGAGCCCCCCAGCACCTTGAGACCCACCTTCGATCAGGCCTCAGACCCCGGTGCCCCTCCAGCCCCGTCCTCACCAAAACTGTGGAACAGCACGTTCCCTTCTCCTACACCCTCCTGGATCTTGATGAGCTGCAGTGTCATCCGAGGCCCGATCTGGAGGCACGGGGGAGGGGGTTGGGGGAGTGTGTGTCAGTCCCTCCTTGAGACTGGGGGAAGCCACCGGGCCTGCCTGGGCGGGGCCTCACCTCGGTGAGCCGCACAGCGCTCTGCTGGGCCGGCATGTTGCCGCGCCCTGCCACGGCCTGGGGCAGCACAGTGATGTTGTGCTCGCCGTCCGGCTCCGCTTCACTCTCGGACAGCCCTGCGCCCCTGTGTGGGGCACACACGGGGCTCAGCAGGGGATCCCGGGCTCCTGGGACAGCTCTGGGGCCCGCTGGCGTGCGGTGGCCCCCCGCCCCACCCTGAGCCCTCCTCACGTGGCCAGCAGCTCACTGACGTCCTGCAAGCGACTCATGTTGGGGAACTTCTCCTGAAGAAGTTTCTTCATCCCACGACTTGCGCCCACAGGGACAACTCTGATGCTACTGCAGGGGTCAGGGCGAGGGAGAATGGGGTCAGGAGCCATGGGGTCGCGGGCCAGCTCCACCCCCCACCAACCCTTTCCACAGTCCATCGGAGTGTGTACTTTGAAACTAAGCAATCACAGAGGCTCAGCAGCAGTGCTGTCATCAGCCGCAGAGCGGGGCCACACCCGCCACCCCACCCCACCCCAGACTCACTAATGGCGGAAATCCAGCTCCTGGGAGTCAGGGTTGTAGTTGATGAGAAGGCAGCGCTTGATGGTGTTCAGGTTCACCTGGGAGGGAGAGAAGAGAAGGCACGGCACCACGTGAGCTGCACCCAGGCCTCACTGTGTGCTGGAGCCCATGCTAAGCCCCGGCTATGGCTGCACTCCTGAAACCTCACAGTAAAAGGGCACAGAGTGCTGACAGCACTGCAGGGATGGATGGGGCTGCAATTGGTGTCCATGGGCTACCTGGACGTTGGCTAGAAATCCCGCGTCCGAGGCCCACTGAGGCCGTCGACACCGGACTTCCTGGTGACTGGCATCTAACAAGGCTAATTTGAGAGCCACTGGTACCACGGATTAGAAGCAGGGGCTCTGCTGCCAGACAGATTTTAAAAATCCGGTCCTGCCTTCTTCTCCCTTGTATCTGACCTGAGACTACTGACTTCACCTCTGCCAGCCTCAGTTTCCCCCTCTGTAAAATGGAGCCACAATACACACTACTCTACTTAGACCAGCACTCAACATGCGTTTAGAAAATAAAGCACTATGGACATAGTTTTCCACCTGCCAGATGGGATGGCAGCTCATGGGGGAAGCCTCTTGTGCAGTGTCACAGAATGTTATGAGTGGGATTCGACCTCAGAACCCGGAGCTCTCAGCCTCAATGCTAGGAGGTGAAGACTGAGCAATCAACCCAAGGGCCTGTGTGTGGTAACTGTTGCCTGCCCCACCACCACGCCTGGCCCAGCCCACCTTGTGCACGTTGATGGAGGGGAACAGGTTCTGGAACATGGTGGCCATGAGCTTCACGTGCATGCCGTGGGGACCAAAGCTGTTGAGCACCAGGAGAGGAGGGTGGACAAACTGCTGCTCGTGCATGCGGTGACGTCGCAGCGAAGAAACCACATCACGCACCAAGGTGTACTGCAGGACAGGGTGACGAGTGGATAACTGCCAAGCACACGTGGCTGGGGCAATCCCCAAACCCAGCTCCTACCCCTCAGAGGCCTCATACCACCTCTAGTCCTTACCTTGTTGATCCGGAAGGTTAAGGTAGGGCCTCCCGGGAGGCGTATCAGCTTCTACAGAAAAAAAGGATCAGTGAGGGTCAAGGTGTCCAACTAGGGAGCAGGGGGAATGGGAACCTCTGCCCATCTCTTCAGAGCGTTTACTTTGAAGCCAGAATCACGGCAGCTCAGAGGCACAAGGGGTCATCATGAGAGCTGGGGGAGGAGGAGGGGGTGGGGGAGTGAGGGGTGAGAGCATCCACTCACAAAGTAGACACTGGTCTCCGTTTTGCTCAAGATCAGAAAGTGTGTGACCCCAAGGGGCCCAGCCACGGCCACACAATCTTTCAGAGAGTTTTTCTTTCGAATCTAGAAACGACAAAAAGAAAAAGCGATGATCACTGATATCCCCTTATTGAACAAAGCCTATATGCTTAAGCTGTTATGCCCTTTCTTGCATTTAATCCTCGGAAGAAGGGGGGAGGAGAGAAGAGTGGAATGCTCTTGGCCTCTAGAGACAGTCAGACTTGAATCTGAGCACCGCCTCTGTCCCTCGACAGCCAACTGAGGCCCAGATAGGTTAAGTAACTTGATCGAGGCCTTTGAGAGAAGCCAGCTTTGCTGATTCCAGAGTCCCCTCTTAACTACCAGCCCGAGGCACCCAGCCAAGCTGGGTGCGGTTCATCTGCTCGCCCTCGCTGCTGCCACTCAAAGCCCTGAGAGGCAGCCACGATGGTCCCCATAAGGGTTCCTTTCTCCAGCCAGGGAGACTGAGGCCTCGCGCGGTTTCGAGGATGGAGCCATCCCCGCAGAAGACGGGGCCCACGGCGGGTGGAGATGGGCTGGGCGATGCAGACCTGCAGGCGGGTGGCGGTGAGCGGCTCCATGACCCGCCGCAAGTCCAGGCTGAGCTGTCGGACGCTGCGACCCGCGCGGCCCCGAGCGAACACGAAAGAGTGCGGCTGTGCGGCATAGGCCTCGAGGTTGCGGAGGTGCGCCTGGGCGCGCGCCCGCTTCTGGTGCCGGGACTGCGGGGTCGAGAGGCAAGAGGTGAGCACTGCGGCCACCGCCTGTACCCCACCCGCGCTGCCCGCTTTCCCGGCCGCCACGCCTCACCCGCCCCGACTGCCCCATGCCACCGTCTCGAGGACTCTTCTGCGGGCTGCTTCCGGCGCCGCACAGCTCACTTCCGGCGCCGGCGAGGCGACTACGTGAGGCGCCGCTGCCTGATGACGTCACCACATGGGCTTGCGCACCAGGTCGCGGGAAACCTCGGAGGGGTTGCTATGGAGACACCTGGTGCCTGTTTCTGTGGAAACCGGGGGGGGGGGCACGGTTCGAAATGAGCCATGGATTCGAATCCTGCCTCGGCCATTTCCACCAGCTGTGCGATTTTGAGGCACACGTTCTCCACTCCAAGGCTCCTAAAGTATCCCAAAGTGAGGATGATCATCATTTCCTCTCTGACCCGCGAATTAAGAGAGATGATGTATGCACAGTACTTGGCACACTGGCGCCAGGCACTTGGGGGCCCGAAAAGGGGATAGCACCTTGGCAGTTACTCATTTAGGCCCCAGGTCCTGAGGACCAGCTGTCCCCCGCGGGGGCCCTGTCTGCGGATGGGCTGAGTGATGGAAATTCCACATCACCTTCTGGAAATTCAGAGCAAGGCGGCAGCTTCGTGAATAATTCACCCCCTCCCAGTTTCTGCTCAAAGCCCCAGCCTTGGCCTCAGGCCTCTGGCTTCTTCCCCAGAACCTTCGGGTAGGGGCAAGAGATCCCCCAACATCTCTCTCCCTGTTCCATCTGTCTCTGTCTCCCTCTCCCCAGCTTTGAACTTGCCAAAAATTGTCTCCTTCATCATCTGTAAGTTTCCATCTTTCTCCTCTCTCTGTCTGTCCCTATCCCCATTTCTCTCTTCTCATCTCTATCCCCATCTCCCATC